GTTTTCCACTCTGCTCTCAAAGTCCACTTCTTCATCAAGGAATCCAAGTAAATTTAAGTATGCTGCAACCAAACATAAGAAAGATATAGTCCCATCCAAACCTCTCCCCATCCTTCCCCTTTTAAAGGAAACAGGAGTGTTAAGTCAGGGACCATGAAAATAACATTTCATGTCAGGGAAACTCCTCCTGGCTTCGTCCCAAGGGAGTGATAGGATCCTGCCAGCGCCTCAGAGATTGTATTTTATCAGCTCCTAAAAGCATTATATCTAAAATTACAAGTGTATCTTTTAAACCACTTTAGATCCCCAATACTGATTGGAACATCTCTCCTTTAAAGAGGCAGAGGAGGGGAAATGCATACAGCCGGAGAGCTTTGGTACCAACTAAGCTCATAAAAAACACTGGTATGCACCTATAGAAACAAGGGGCCTCAAGCTGCCCAGGGGCGGGGTTATCTGTTTCATATCTAGCACATTCATTAAATACGTGCAAAGCCGGCGGAAATGCAAAATGGCCGGATCATTAATTATAAGGCTGACACGTCCATCCTTTCCTCAGACTCCTAAACCTGGAGGGGGAATTAAATTAGAGGCAAAACTTCTTTACTTTGCAGTGTGACTCGGAGGAGAGGACCCTACAAAAGTACAGGGAATGCTCGAAAAGAAACACTGGAATTATTGTTCAAAGGCTAATTGTAGCCTATTAGCTTTTTAATAATACCTTGAAAACTCAAATGCCTCGGTCCCGCTCTACCTTTGTCACCTGATGACCCTTTCTCCTTGTCTCAGGGTAGGACAATGTGGCCTTTATTGTCCCAAGAAAGCAAGCCCACTGAAGCGTTTTATTGGGTCAGCCAGCCTGGAGGAAACCACAGGCTGGCTGACCCCAGATGTGCTAACTCCATACTGATCTTCGAGGCAGATCACCTGAATGGCAGAAGGAAACCTTTGTTGAAGAATTTCTAATTATTAAGATGTGGGCAAGCTGATTTAAAAAGGGCAAGGAGGGGAATGGTTGCTGAGCGAATGCTCCAGAAGGAAACATGGTAACTTTCAACTGCAGGAGTCACAGAAAAGCGTCCCCTCTGCAGGTGAAACTTTGAAAGCCAAGGAGTTAAGCCCTCCCTCTGTCAAAGGGAGGCACAATAAGGGTATTAACAGACTTTGTCGAGGATCAGCAGGAGCCCCTGTGCTGCCCTCCCAACCAATGTGTTGTTCCTGGCACCTTGAGATCCTCAGTAAAACAAACCAAACAGTGGAGGGGAGAGAGCAGGGGCACAGCTGAAACTCAGCTTTTATTAAAATACTAACTTCCCTGACCAAGTGGATGGATTTGATTGATGCGGTTCACTGTTCCAAAACTAATTAGTAAAAGGTAAGTAATTTATTCAGCTAAATTGCAGATTGAAGAAGATAAGGCAAGGTCATAACTAGCTGGGTCCGGGAGAACCCTTTCTAGCATTCAGTGGCATCACTCATGATGATTCATAGAAGCCATCCTTCTTTATTCCCTTCCTTAAGTTGTCATTGTTCTTGAACCAAATGATGGCTAAATGTTCTTCACAAGCAACGTTTTGAAATGGTTGGAATTGAACCATACGATTGCAGGAAGGTCGTTTTGAGATGTTCCTGCAGTACCATCTGCCCCTGATTGTATGAATTTACATGGCTTCATCAGAGCCAATTTAGGCTACCATTTAAGTGTATTCATTCCTACGTGATCATAATATTCCAATGAGGACGCCAGGGAAAGGCAGATACAGACTGAATGGTAACTGGTTTAGCACTACTTGAACAGTTGGCTTCAAAGTGGCCACTGCCAGTATTGGAAGTCAGGAGAGATGGATTCCTGTCCGGATCAAGCAACTAACCAACTGTGTGACCTTGGTTCAGTTGATTGTTTAACCGCCTCTCTAGTCCTCAAGTTCCTGATATACGAGATGGCAGTGGTAGAATTCCTGTTTCCTAAACAAGAAACATTGGTGTAACTCCCCCACAAATTTTGTCATAGACACTTCATTTTTTCTCTTCAAGTCAATTCACTTCTTTTTCTTAATTCAGGTAAAAGGAGTACTTTATACCCCTAATATAAATGGAAACCCAGAATCACTTGCAATCATCAGAAGGTCAGTATCAAAGCAGCTATGCTTATCAGCCAATACTTATTTCTGATCTTAGAGAAGAGTCATCCCATGTTTTGGTCCTTTCTTAAGAGGGATTTTCATACTCGAACAATAAAGTACTATTTGGGGAAGATACACTAGCCTAAAGCAACCCAAATTAATACTATTTGTGATGCTTCTGGAAGAAACCCAATTAAATCATTAATATAAAGGGGGATGGAGTGTCAGAAAAATTTAACACATTTTATCATTCATCCTAAAGGTTCTGACCTCATCATTGCATTTTATAATGTCACTGTTAATAGTCTTTCCAAAAATCACTTCAAAAAGCAATAAAGTGGTTGCACTGTAGAGTTTACAAATATGTACCTATAGGCAAATGGGCAAATGAGGCTGTCTGCTAAGAGAATGTGCATTTGTGGTTTGCAGTAACATTTCTAGGGATAGCATCCCATGGGGTGTACAAGAACTGCTGCACTTTATAAACAATCCAGTTAGCAAGTTCAATTGTTTTCTCCAAAAAGTTGACAGAATCCTTAAAATATCACTGGATTGATGGGGATGATACTAATCAAAGACGCCTATAAAAAAGGTAAGTTAATTTGCTTAACATAATGTGGGCGGTAAAAACATACAGCATATCGTGCTCAACGTACTTTGCATAACATATCATTTTAAATATATAAAGTTTATAAACTTAGTAGCTGGACTGTCACTAAGATCCCTAAATGTTTACACATCCAAGTTAACCAAAAGAAAAATGTGGATCTTTTCATTAAAAAAATTGAAGCTTGCTTTGGCTTGCCTAAAGCTCAGGCTTCTTAGCATAATCCCTATGTGATGAAATAAATGACACAATTACTAGTAAAAAAAAAAAAATCTAGTAAGATACCAGCTGTGAGCCTGAGGCCGTTTCCTCTTGTTAAAGGACAAATTAGCACCAAACAGACTTTCTCTTTGAGGTACTCAGACTTTCTCTCACTCACGCTGTGGGTCCCTGCCCATCTTAAAACCCTCAGATGTCATCAGCAGTGTTGGATTCAGGTGGGGGTGGAATCGCTCTGTAAGGGGTCTGCCTCTAGCATCCATCCTGCCATCATTATTATGTGGCTCTAAGAAGCCAGAAGCAGCCCCATCACTTTCCAGGGGAGGGAGTTTCATTGTTGCTTTCCTGGACTGCAGGCTGCAGTGTGACGAGATTACTTTGGGGGTACCATTTACCACCTTTCACTTGCACTCTCACTAAAAGCATGGGCCAGACTTTTATCCGCAAGACCTGTCTCCTCTCTCTTCACCTGTTCTTGTCCCACTTCAACATTTGCCGAGGAACATGACAAAGCACACGCCTGCGTGTGAGGAAGAATCAGCTGAGTGTGCATCCGCCCCAGCAAAGCCTGTCACTACCTGGCTCCCGGCAGCCTTCCCCATGACAGCTTTATGGCCGACACTAAAGCAGAATCAATAGGAGGGCAAGGGGTTGACATTTCATTTTCTAAAAAATGATCCATTGAGGACCAATCACCAAGCAGTGTTTATCAGCCTTGGGAAGTGACATTTTTTTTTAAAATGGGGAAGAAGGGCCAGGAATCATCGTTGGGTAACTCGACAGGCTCAATTCTCTAAGGTGGGGACTCATAATTGGAAATCCAATGCATCCTGTTATCAATCCTGCCTTAAATAATAAAGTGATCAATAAAAGCCGAGAGGAAATTAAGTCATCAGGCTTGCGATGCTATTTTCTAGAGCTATGGCTTTTAATAAACTTGTCTTCCTGCATTACATTTCCCTTCCTTTTCATCCAAGCAGAAGAGCATCCAAGATAACTTATAATGAGGTGACTTATGACTCTGGTTTGACTGCTATATTCAGGGCAACTTAAATTATTTTTTTAAAAGGTAAATCTCCAAGAAATTTGAGCTACAACTAGAAAATGCTTCCAAACAACATCAGAGAGAAGGTGGAGACACAAGAAGAGACCCACTTCCTGGAAACATGAGTTGTCTCAAATGGTTCTGAGAATCACATGGTGCTGGATTTCAACTAAATATTTTTTAGAAGTTAAGGTAATTAATAATGGTTTTCTATTTTTAGACTTTTAAACATCTACATTTTCTGATAACAGAAGTTGTTTATATATACTGTGAAATTTTCAAATGCAGAAATATGTAATAATGAAAAATGCTCTATAATTTTATTCTCCCCCATCTGACCTGTTTCCCACTATCAGATGAATATATATTAATGCATACCATTCCCCAAGTGTTTATATGCCTGGCAGGTATATACATACACAAAATCAAATGGCAATGGACAAGAAAGCAGTCCATCTTGATTTACTTCCAAAATCAATGCCAGGGAAGCAAAGCACACTGGAAATTCAAGTTCTGTTCAGGCCAGCTGAAGTGTCCGAAGGCCAAGATGTACCATCACATAGGATGGATCAGGCATGTATACATGGATATGTGCATTATAGCAACAAGGATGAGAGTTGTGGTAGATTTAACTTATTCAGGATGGAACCAGACACTGATCAAACTTATCTAGTTTAGACTTTGCACCAACAAAACCTAGCAGGATGACCAATGTAGGTTCCCACACACCATGAGGAGTTGTTCTATTCTATGTTAAAGTGATCAAAATTGATCTCTATATAATAGGAATTTTGGAGAGTGATATGAATAAATACAAGTGACAACTGGGACCATATCCAGGCAAAGTAAGCTATATGGTCATCACCTTAATGATGATGTATTACCAAGGCGAGGGAAAGGCATGGTCACTTGCCAAGAGGCATATTTGGAAATAGCCAGAGGCATATTTGTGACATCAGTGAGATCACCAACAGAAGAGGCAGAGAGAAATAATGCCACAGTGGCCTGAGAGCCCGGCATGGCTTCCGGGGTCCCAGTGTCATGACTCTGGACAAGTACTACATCTTTCTGTGTATCATCTTCCTCTTCCCTAACATGAAAGGCTTATGTTTAAGAGAATCATTTTGACATTTTTAGGTTGTGCATTTTTTGTGGGTTTGTTTGTTTTCCCCAAAGCCTCACCTTGTGAAACAGTGGATGGTATGGGCATGAGATCAGAGAAGGGGCAGCTTTGCTCACAGGACATAAAGAAGGCCTAGATGTGGGCACAGGTTGAAGAAGAGCAGCTGCCCGCCCCTACCACCCCTTTCCCTCCAGACGTTCCAGGCAGCGTTAATAAGCAGATGGAGGCAACAGCAATAAGAAAAACTGCTTCAAAGAAATATGCTGCCAAACCATTTTTAATTCTTTCTTTTCTAGATTGTTTTTAAAGTTTCAAGTTAGATTGTAAAGTTACAGAGACTAAGTAATTGGCTGTTTTATATTTATTTCCAAGAATAATGCTATGCCTACAATATACTCAATGGATACTGTCTGGAAATGCGGAGGCACCTACTGTGTGCCATATGATCTACTTTGTCTATCAAAGCCTCCATCAATAACTCTTTGAAGCAGATATCATTACCCTTGTTTAATAAAAGGAAAATCAAAACTCAAAGTGGTTAAGTAATTTAGCTGACAAATGGCAGAGCACAAATTTTGGTCCCAAGTTTTATAAGGCTTTCTCTTTTTTGCCTTTGGCAGTAAGTCCAAGCTTAAGAGACATATAAATGTAACACCTTACAGCTTAGAGCATCTAGAAGTCTCCCACCGGCTTGCTTTGCAGCTTGGTTTCCTGGAATTAGTTGGGTCTTTCCAGGCTCTCAACTCTGAGAGCTCCCACCAGGGTACAGTCAGCAGCTCCAGGAGGGGTGTGGGGAGATCAAAGCCAAGAGAATGGGGCTTGAGATGCAAATGTTGTGTTTATAATGCTAATCAAAGCCTCAGCTTTGTGTGGAGGGGACAAAAAGCTCCCTCATAAAAACTGGGAAGGGAGGGTGGTTCAGTGAGTGGCTTAAGTGCTTACCTCCTGCTGATGACAAAAGCTGCGATGAGAATGACCACTAGCACCACACTGCCAGCTACGGAGACCAGAAGGACTGTGGAGTTGGCCCCATCTCCAATGATCCGAGAAGGCACTGGTAAAGACAGTCACACAAGGATCACCCTTGGGAAGGTCCTAAGAGGGAGCACTTCTGACTGGGTCACAAGTTTCAAATGTCTGAAGCCATTTAGAATGCTCACAGCCTCTTTGCCCTTCGTTAAGTATTCATGCAACAGCGTTTTCTAAGGCAGCCTTAATGAGACAAGGGCATTCTTTTCATAATTGCATGAAAAAATTCAACCAGAAGATTCTTATTAAATCCTGTGGTAAACATCACCAGGAAGGTGGGTTGTTTTTTTTTCCTTCTTCTTCTTCTTCTTTTCCTTTCTTCTCTTACTCCTAACTCTTACATAAAAATCTGATGCATTCCTTAGTGGGAAATTTCAGAAAGGACAAGCAATTTTGAATGTTCCTCTCCCTCCCACACCTCCCAAAACCATCAAGAACCTGCCTATTAGTGTCCAGTTCAAAGGCCACTTCCTCCTTGAAGGCTCCCAGGATAATCCCAAAGGATGTCAAACCCCTGGCAATTTAATTCTGGAGTACTTTCTCCTCTGCTTTTGTTTTTGTTCTTTTTTTTTATTTATTTAATAATTTGTGAATATAATTACTTTCTAGAACTGATGCCCAAAATTCTACTCCACCATCTCCTTATCAACTGGGCTCAATTTTGGTTAGTTAATTATGGATGTGGAGATATCTTATGTAACCTGCTTATTGATGGGTACACCCTCTGTTAACATTTTTTACTTAATCAACCAGTTGGTCCAACTCACAATGTTGAAAGAGTTGATATATTTGTCCAAAAGGGCTTTAATACACACACACATACAAGCAAACAAACAAAAATGGTCTGACTTGATTTTAAAAGATTCCTAGAAATAAATAGGAAAGGGAAAAAAAATGGCCCTTTTTCCAGTCTTCCCAGGAGGAAAATTTCCTAGCTATGCAGCTCTCAATTGGTTCAGTGATCTCATTTCTCATGGTTTATAGAATGCTGAAAGCAAACAAAACAGACTTTTTTCTTCAATCATATGAAAAAACAGGTCAAATAATATATTTTAAAATGCTCTTCTCTAAATAGGATGATGTTTTCCAAGTTACAGTCATTGTTCATTGCAACAAAACGTTTGCCTAACCAAAAATGATGTGCAACACTTTGGATTTTCCTGCAATAGGACTTGCCCTGAATGGTCAAAAGAACTTCAGAACTTCTTACCTGTGTTGGTTGTGACCTCCAGGGGCTCACTGAAATCTCCATAGCCAGCTGCTGTCCTGGCCCGGACATGGAAAACATAGGAAGTCAGAGGATTCAGACCTTTGATATCAGTGTTCCTGGCAGCTGTCCGGACAATGCGATAGCTTCGCTCATTCTGATCCTACATTGCGGAAAGATAAAATAGAGGAAGATGGCAAAAGAAATCCTCCACTTATCTAGGCACAAAATTAAAGGAGCCATGACAATCTACTCAGAAGCTGAAAGAAAATGGAGTTTGATTAACTCTCTAAACACTACATTTTCTTCAATGTTAGAAGTACTACTGTTATTTCTAGATGTTGAAAGAAATGCAGTTGTATGATCATTGTTGACACTGAGCACATTCAGATCTTTACTCATGATCTTTTTGAGAAAAGACCATTAGGGGATGACTGATGGCTTTTCTCACTCCACACACAGCAATTTAACAGAAATAACTATAAGAAAGTCCCTTGTCTTTTTCTACTTTTCTGTCTAGAAAATGTCAAAAATGTTGTAATCTGGTTTCAATGAGAAAAAACAAAAAACCCTTCCCCTTTTTCTGCTTTTAATAAGGAAGCCAATAAATGATTATCTTTAAAAAGAGAAAACAATTGCTCATTTTTCTAGACAACTTTGAATGCAAATAGTTCCCTTCAGAATTCTGTCCTTAAGGGAGAAAAGTTACTTGTAAAAATAATGTCCTTCTATAACTTTAAGAGGCAGAAGAATGTAATTTTTCTTCCCTGGTTTTCTATTAAAAGTCATCAAAAGCCACACCTTGATTCTGAATGGCAGTGACCTACTTAAGCAGACCATCATTTCATCTTTTATGAGTCACTCTCCAGACAGAAGGTTACAGATTAGAACTAGCTGTTTTGAATTCCATTACTAGAAAGAAAACATTATAGCTACATTAGAATGCAATGTATTTTTTCTGTTTTTGAAGATAACAACTTAATACATAAAATTCATAATTGGATTTGATTATGAAGCAAACTGCATTTGGCTTTGAGATTCACTGGTATTTCAGGATTTATAATTGGTCAAAAACCAGATGAAAAAAATAAAAAGAAGAAGGAGAAGAAGAAGAAGGAGGAAGAGGAGGAGGAGGAGGAAGAGGAGGAAGAGGAGGAGAAGGAAGTGAGGGAGGGAGAAGGGAGGGAGGGAGGGAAACGAAAAAAAGAAAGGGAGGGCAGAAGTTTGCTCATTCAATTAATACCTTCTCATAATACTTGACTTCATACTCTAAGATCACTCCATTGGGCCGATCTGGTTCCAGCCAAGCCAGGGCAACACTGTATCTGGTAACCTCTTTAGCCTGGACCAAAGCAATGGATGATGGTGCTATTGAGAAAAACAAAAAAACAATAAAAATAAAAAACAGTTTATTTCAGGGGAAAAAAATTAGTGGTATCAGTAATTTCATTTTACTTAAGAAAAGTATAAAGGATTGCCTTGTCTTCCTCCCAATCCACATTTAGCTCTTCCCCTGAACAAAAGTATACCATACACCATTTTAATGGTTCTCTCCAGTATCCTTTTGTGCATGGTTTGTTTGTCTTAGAAAAATAATCTCTGAAGTAAAAGCCTGGTAGGTCGACGGGTCTACAATGTCATTTCCACAGCACCTGTAACCATTCTTCTCAAAAGGCTGCAGGTATAGAGAATGCTGTCTACTTCTGATTTTCTGCAAGCCTTTGAAAGCCTTTGGAAAATTTCCCTTTAAGCTCACTGAAACTGCATCTCATCCTACTCGAGTGTCATCTTTCTGGTCTTTAATTTCATACCAGCAAGAGGATTTGCAACTCTTCCAAGGGAACTGGAGGAAATGGCACAGACAAACAATTTACATACTTTCCAATATAAAACAAAGTCCTGCTTAATTACAGTGCAAGTTTCCAGTTTGAACACAACCATGCAAATAATGAAGAACACAAATAAAGCAATGATGTTCTCTCTGGACATATATGGCATTCTGCAATGACTTTATGAGAGTTGAAATATTGCTTTTGCCTACTAGTAGCAAACTTTTCCACTGAGAAAGACACAAAAGCAGCCTTTCACTCGGTGTGTTGTCAGGGGTGAGGAGGAGGATGCATTTGAGATGTCTAAAACCAATCTAATGCTTGCTTCTCCTCTGTTGGGCCCCAGCCCCAGCCAGCTGTTGTTAAGCTCCACTGTGACTGACAAAAGTACTAATGCACCATCTCCAGGGAGCAGAGGAAGCAGTCATGAATTCAGCAACCTTATCTAATGACGCTGGTCTGTAGAACCAGAGATTAGGGGGTCTTCCTAAATTCAATGTATATTCTTTTTTATTCCCAAATAGTGAAAACATCAAAAATGGCCACTGAGGAGCAACACTGTAGTGTTGGGTCTTCTAAATGTTCTTCTCTGAGACACACACACACACACACACACACACACACACCCCAGACCCTAACTTGAAAAAATAAATTGTCACTGAAAAGGGAACAGGGACTAGCTTCAAACCCACTTGACCATATCTGACAGGCATGTTGATGGCACAGTCCACCAGGGAGCATCTCTCAGAGGTAGGTGGTCATTTGACAGCCCAGTATATTTGTTAAAGGTGGGTGGCAGTCACACATACACTATGCCTCTTCTCCTCCTCCTCCTCCCCTTCCTTCTCTTCTAGAGCAATTCCAGATTGGATCTCAGGCATAAACACTAGTGAGAGATGCAGTGGATTCACATGTCCTCCATCAAAGGCAAACCCAAGGTTACTCATGCCCAACTGAACCCAGCAGACATATGGAAGCCACTGAACATCTGAAGAAAATGAAAAATGCAAATGTGCTCATTAGCTGTATTAAAGCTCCCCTTCCCCAACACACACACACACACACACACACACACACGCATGCACGCACGCACGCGCTCTTTCTCTTTCTTTACTAGTTGACACAGAGCCATTGCCCAGCAAAACCCAAGGAGTGACATCCTTAAATATAGAGTTAGCAGGGAAGCTAAGAAGGCTGCCTGGCTGTGAAAAGCCATTTCACTCCAGGTAATGAATATATTGCCTAACAGAGCACTTTAGCATACACTCCATAAAAAGAGGCTCTTTAATCTCAGATGTTCAGGATTGGGAAATGAAATAGAAAAGCAAGGCCATTAGAAAGAAAGCAGGAGGGAAGAAAATCATGAAGTTATAAAATGAACTTTCTCTCAGCAATGGTCTGGGTCAAACCCTGATAATCAACAGATTTCTCGGAAAAGAATTGCCTGGCAGCCCTTGGAGTGCACTGATTAACTAAGATGGTACCCTCTAGCTGGGCTATCACTCAGCTGCTGTATGTGGGAGATGAGTCTGATTTCCATTTCAGAAGTTGGAGCAGGGGTGTCCGGTGCCCATTCAAAGGCAATATGAGCTCAACCAAGGCTCTCCACAAACTCCAGGCAGGGAGTTAACAATATGATCGCATTAACTAACAGACTATTTCTAATGCAGCCCTACTTGGAAAATTCATATGCACAGAGAGTATGCACAGTGACTCGCTGTCATACAAATGGATGAAAATGGGGTTAAAGAGGAAAGTAGAATAAATAGCCTTAATTCACAAAAAGGATGATGTCCTGCGGCTGTGAAGTCCAGGTTCTTGGTGAACAGATGTTTTTCAGAAGAGCATTTTTATCAGGCCAGTGACAAAAGCATTCCCTGAGCAGGTCCGACTGAGAAACGTACTTCAAACAAGCCACTGCATTGTAGGATGCTATGGCAGCCCCTCTCCCTGTGGAAGAGTGCTCCTTACCTTCTCTGATAAGAAGAACACCAGTTTGGCAAAAGCTGGGCCCCACCACACTGCCTCTCCGGACAGAAGAGAAAACGGGGATTGCACCGCATTATAACCGACATAAGGGTTCTCCCCTGGCCTTGCCTTCTAAGCTCCTGAGGCAGCCTCTAACTACATCTGGAAGCCATCACCCTACTGGGTTATGACTGCCTGTGGCTTGCTTCCCTAGTGGAGGTCTTTGGCAATGGCATTTCTCAATGGCATTTCCCTACTCCAGTGGTTGCCAAGAATCAGTTTTCTCATGTCACCCATATAATTAATTGCTGCCACAAACCTCTGTATCTTGTACTATGATTTAAGGAACATTTTTTTCTTAAATTGACACACTATACTACTTTGAAAGGAAATATTTTGAAAGGAAAAATGCCATTACTGTTATCACTTGCAATAATGGCTAGTCACCATAAAAATGAAAACAACATTTCAGTAAAATAATACCATCAACTCAATAATACTATCAACTCTTGCCTCTCCATCTTTGCCAAAAGAGATAAGCTAGAGAATGAGAGATTTTAAAAGAAACTAACTTTCACACAGGGGAATTCAATATTGTGTAAGGGTCCATCTGGGTCTTCCCTAAAACCATCTCTGATGCCATTGATGATATGTTGCCACACTTTGGTAAACTCTGCCAATCCCTACTCAATTTAGAAATGTTCCGGGTCCTAAGCCCCCGTATGCCAGGGCTCTGCCCTTTGCTAACAGGACTAGAAGAAGAAACAATAGACTGATCAAGTAACAGATTGAACATTTGTCCCAAATATGTGGTTCAGTGGGAGCTTTGAAAAATAAATGCCTTAATTCAAAAGAGGGCTTCTTTCTAATTCATAGTGGGAAGTGTGGTCAACATGAGAAGACCAAGCAGAGGAAAGGTCTTGCTTCCCTCTCATTTCTCTGATTTACATTCTGAGACCTTATAGACACGTATTTTCCCCACAGCACCGACTCATTCACTAAGCACATACTGGAGGAGCACCGATCCAACAGGGCAAAGAAGGGGAAGGGCAAGCAAAGCGGTATCAAACACAATCTTTGTTATCAAATTGAGTACCATCTTATCTTTTAGACTCTTCCTAACTGGAAAACAAACAAACAAACAAACAAAAAACCCCACAGATGGAAAATTTTTTACAATAGCCTCAGAGAGAAGACATTCTTTAATGTCAACTCAGAGGACCCGTTTTCTAGACCTCAAGAGGAGACAGTTCCATCGAACCCTCTTTTCATTCAAATTCTCTCATGATGGTGGGGAGAAGAAAGAGGTGAGTGCTTTAGGCATGTAATGTACCTGCTTCAGCAGCAGAGGAAAAGCCAAGAAGAAGCTGAGGGCTGATGTAACTCTCCTTACTGAAAGAGAGAGCTGCATCTTAGATTGAAAAGCATTCCTATTTACCCAGACTTCCGTGATAAAATAGATGTTTGCTATTAGGAAACTTCTGTGCTTGTGGACATAAACAGGCTTTCTTTAATGGCTAGAATTTTGACATAACACATAACAAGAAAAGGTGGTCATGCTTGTTGACAATAGTGTGGCTAAAGAAAGGTAAATGATAAATGTAAAAATCACCAAGACAAGCACTAGCGAAGGAGAGCTTTTAAAAAAGCTTTATGATTTAATTCAGTTAAGCTCCTAATTTTCAAGGCTTTGAAGCAGAATTTCCAATGGCCCATAGATGTCTGTACTTGGCTGAATGAAAACAGTGACGAGACAAGAAACCAGAATAGGGAGAAATGCAGTGTGGCTTGCAGAAAGAGGCATGGAAGGGCTTAGAAAAAGACTGGGAGTGTGCTCAAGATTTGCAGGGACAAACTGGCAGAAAAGCAAAAAGGAAGGCTGAGCAGAGGCGCACTTCTGCAAACATGATAAGAATTTTCAGGAAATCCCTAACACCCTGGTGCTGTGAGGGCAGAGCACTCATCTAGGACATAAGATGAAAACATATCTGACCCATATACTTAAAATATTCTTTAGTCACTTGTTTGGAACAAGAGATCAATGTTTAAATGATTTGGGGTAAAATTCCAGGTTTGATAGTTACTAGGTGCCATCTTGGGCAAATCACCAAATTTCTTTGCCTCGGTTCTTCCATTTATAAAACCCCTTCCCTTGCAGATACACGCATGCGAGTTGTTCGAATGTACCTTCCATACGGAGAGGGCTTGCGCTTGTTCATCCCTACATTCCCACTATCTAAGATCATGTATGGCACATAGTAGGTGCGCAATAAATTTGTCAAGTGCATAAAAGTGAACTAAATCTTAAAATCTAAAATACTCTTTGTGGAAAGGAAAAAGGTTTTCTAAGTCTGAAGTACCAGAAGTAAGTCATCCCTAAAATAACTTTTTATCTGCACCTGTTTCAGATGACCTTTGGTGAATTTGGTTTTGCTATTTAGGTAAACTAAGACATTGACAATCATGAGAGAAGTAAATGACAATTCTGATTATAACTGGAGTCTGTTTTCTATGGGACCTGTGATGCTTCTGAACTTTTTTTTGAACACTCAGCCTGTAAAATGTCATTCA